AAGCTTCTTTTTGTTTGTTTGTTAATCCTCACCCGAGGATATTTTTTCCATTGATTTTCAAAGAGTGGAAGGGAGGGAGGGGCAGAAACATCCATGAGAGAGACACACATCAATTGGCTGTCTCCCACATGTGCCCGGACTAGGATTGAACCCCCAACTCTTTGGTGCAGGGGCCAACACTCTAACCACTGAGAACACTGGCCAGAACTTTTAATTATTTTTTAATCCTCCCCAAGGATATATTTTAACAATTTTTTTTGGTTGTTAATCCTCACCCATGAATATTTTTCCATTGCTTATGAGAGACAATGGAAGGGAGGGGGGAGAGACAGAGAGAGAAACATCGATCCATTGCCTCTGCTTGCCTCTACTGGGGATTGAGCCGGCAACCTGGGCATATGCCCAGGAATTGAACTGGTGATCTCTTGGTTCATGGGTCAAGGCTCAACCACTGAGCCACACCAGCTGGGCTCCAGGATGCTTTTGTTTTTTAATATATATTTTATTGATTTTTTACAGAGAGGAAGAGAGAGGGAGAGTTAGAAACATCGATGAGAGAGAAACAATAATCAGCTGCCTTCTGCACCCCACCCCCTCGGTATGTGACTGCAACCAAGTTACAGTCACATACAGAGGAGGGGTGGTGGTGCAGAAGGCAGCTGATTTTAACCAATTTAACCTTGACTCTGTAGGCCAACACTATCCACTAAGCCAAACTGGTTAGGGCTGCTTTTGTTGATATTTATAAAGAGAGGAAGAGAGAGAAACACCAAGGTGAGAGAGAAACATCAAATGGTTGCCTACTTGTGTGTCCTGACTGGGTATGTGCCCTGACAGGGGGTAGTCACACAACCTTTTGGTGTATGGTAGGATGCTCCGACCAACTGAACCACCTGGCAAGGATATGGAATAAGTGGAACTCTCCCATAATCCAGGTGGGTATGTAAGTTGGTAGAACAACTTTGGAAAACCATTTGGCAGTATTTAATGTACAGTAGTACAGCTAAAATGTACCTACCAATGATGTAACAATTCCACTCCTGGGGATATTCGTACACATGTTCACCAAACAACACAGACAAAATGATTCACAACAGCTTTATTTATAATAGTTTAAAACTAGGAACCCAATTGTCCATCAACAGTAGAATGGCTAAATTGTGGTATATTCATATAACAAGTTACCACACAGCATGAAAAAAATGAACTTCTGATATACACAATAACATGGATGAAATCACAGACATAATATTGAGCAAAAATGGATGTATGACTCCATTCTTATAAAATTCAAGGCAAAGCAGAGCTAAGTTATGGTGATAGAGGTCAAAGTAGTGTTTACCTCTGGGGCAGTGGTCGGCAAATTCATTAGTCAACAGAGCCAAATATCAACAGTACAACTATTGAAATTTTTTTTGAGAGCCAAATTTTTAAGCTTAAACTTCTAATGCTACTTTTTCAAAATAGACTCGTCCAGGCCGTGGTATTTTGTGGAAGAGCCACACTCAAGGGGGCCAAAGAGCCGCATGTAGCTTGAGAGCTGCAGTTTGCCCATCACAGCTCTGGGGGATACTATGTAGAGAGAAAAACAAGGGGACCTTCTGGGGAGCTGGCAATGTTCTGTATTTTGATCCCAAAGGTGACTGCCCAGATAAATACACATATGTGAAGAGGACTCAGCAAACTACTCTAAAAATTGGCACACATTACTACTTAATGTATCCTGTATCTCAAAAAGTCAGGATAAAAATTAAAAAGAAATGGTTAAAGAAAGACACTACTTGGGTGTGGCTGACAAGTTATTTCTTCCCATCTGCACCCAATCTTCTCCCTTAGTCTGGAGGGAGCCCTATACTTTTTTCTCTTAGGGACACATCTCTCCCTTTCAGTCAAACTTTGCAGGCCCCAAATCAAAGCACCGTTTCCTCTACCTACAGTGGATGGTTAGGGATGGGAACAGGAACAAGCTGGCTAATGAGTCAGTCCCAGAATTTCTTTTGGAACTAATAGAAAAAGGTGTTCTTCCCATTTCAGTTGCTAATCTATCAGGATATAAGTTTTGAGCTGCCAGTGGCCATCTTTCCACCTTCTGCAGAGTCTGCCCAAGGGAGGCCACACAGAGGAAAGCATGGCGAGATTGAATTCTTACTAATGACACTCTCAGAACCTGGGTCTAGCCATCTCTATACCAAGTTTTTTCATTGAGTGAATCATTAAATTTCCTTTTAGCTAGCCATTTCAAGTTTCTTACAGTTCATTAGAGCCTAATACACTGAGAATCTTAAGTAAAATTATGAGACACATGAGGGAGCTTGGAATATAAAATAACTAATGAACATTGTATGACTTGTTTTGTGGCTGCTCGCTCTGAGACAATCACCCAGCCAGATGGGTGAAGCAAGCTAAGGGGTCATGTGGGAAGGACTCTGGTCCTTGTTTGAAAGGGTTCTGGAATAGGAATCTAGACAACTGGATCCACTCCCCATTTTGCTGTTTTAGTGGCAAGGCCTTGGGCAAATCACCACACCTTTCTAAGCCTTGTTCCTTTTCTAGAAAATGGAATATCATCATCTGGTTCAAAAGGTTGTTATGCAGATCAAATGCTAGTTTCCCAACTTCTCCAGCTTTTCATATCTTTGGCTGAGTTAATGCCTATATCCTGGGCATTCCCACAACACCCTGTATGACCCACTGACCATTGCCATAATGGTCTAACAGTGGTGAGCTCTCCAAAGAAAAGTGTTCATTCTTGTATTCCCATGCCATCGGGCTGGCCACACAGCTGGCAGGACTCCTGAATCCAGAGTGGTCCTGCAGGCCAAGAATATGGCATGGTGTGGCAGCCCACTATTCCTCTGCCCTTCACTTCCTTGCTTGTTAGATGGGCCCAATTCTGACATTTTGGGTTGGGGAGAGGGATTCTGGGGAAAACGCTGAGGCAGTATGGGCTTTGGAAGCTGAGAGCTGAGAATCCACACTTGGGGCTGTGGAGGGTCTTTTCCAGCTGGCCTAAAGCAGGTGCTCAAGAACCATTTGCCGAGTGAAGAATTGGAGCTAAAGCTGTGTGAGCACCTTCCTCAGATCTGATAGTCGGAAACAAAGGAATCCTGAAGCCAACCTACTCCTTTCTCAGCTCATTTCTGGGTCATGGAAAAGGTTCTTCCAAGAATTACCAGGACCATTTCTCCTTATGCATAGTCATTCGTCCATCCAACCATCCATCCATCCAGGAAACACTTCATGACACATCACTCTGTACATTAGAGAAGTGGGGATGAACAAGGGTAGGTCTCTGCCCTGAAGGGATTAGCCTGGAAAGAACCACAAAAAGGCTCCATTTGACCTCTGTCTGTGTCCTTTCCTGCTCTCCTACATTCCTTCTGTGCATAGCAGCTGAAATGATCCTCTCAACCAAAGCAGGCTACTAGTTTAAACTTTCTCGAGACCTCCATGAGATTCTCCGTTACAGAGAAAGGTGAATGAGTAGATGAGGTTATACTGAATTTAGGGCATGTGTGAAGACTTCCTCAGAGTTGCCAAACAATTTGGATGCCTCTCTCTGTCCTAACTCCTAAGATCAGTATTTAGGACTGTGGGAGTATGAATGGGATAAGGGTAAGGGATGAAGATATACATAATAGACCCAATGGCAATATGGCCCCAAGTCCTAGTTCTGTTAAGTTGCAGTCTGGCTCATGGGGTAAATTCTTTATTTAGATGCTTCAGTAACCAAGAGACAGAGCATAAACACATACCCATACACAACACTAAAGGCATTTCGCAGGCAAGGGATAGGGAGTGGGAGGAAGAGGCATTGAGAGCAGAATAGGGGCTTCTTTGGCCCAGTGAAGGAGGGCCACTGATGGTTCCACTTCCTAGAATTCCTGCTTGAAAGATACAAGAAAAAATATACTCCCAGTGAAGTCCCAGGCCATAAGACATGGCAGAGCTGGAGAAATCTAGGTTTGGGGTCTGGGGAACATCTGATTCCTCACCGTGGAAACTTGTACCAGCCCTCCTTCCTTTACCTGGTACCCAGTAATCTCCTGGTGGGTGATAGGGGAGGGTTAGCACCACAGCAACCTGGGCAGGTGGTCTGCTGCACATGGGGAAGGAAAGGCTAGTGGAGGCTGATGAGCAGCAATGAATCTCTGAGCTGGCTGGCTGGAGAATCATCAAGAAAACTTGCATATGGGGTCTTTCCCATATGAACTGGGTCAGAGCACCTCTGACACAGAGGAAAGGCCCCCTGGAGCCTTTCCATGATCCCACTAGGTACTGAGGCCTTCTCCAGCTCTAGCTTGTCTCCGGCTGCTGCAGGTCCTTAGCACCATTCAGGAACTGTGAAGGGTCAGGAGGGACAGCAACACTCTGCCAGGACTGCGGCATTGCTCCAGGAGGAGACCACAGTGGGCAGAAACCTGTACAACTGGCCAGCATCTGGTCCCAGGCTTAGGAAAGTCTGCACATTTTGGGGGAGATGAGTGTCACAATTTCTCTAAGCTTCCATGTGGCAGCTATTTTCATCTGTCCTTTCCTGCCTAGACCGAGCTCTGGCATGAAAGTGCCATATTTCATTGGAGATGCCTAAAGCCCAGGAGAACTCAGTTGTTTAGCTGCAAGGAGTGGTTCAAAACTGACTTGCAGAGGAAATACAGGACTGGAGCCTCATGACATATGGCCTAGAAGGGCCAGGGAAGGGGAAAGGCCATCCTCTAAACTACTACCCTGTGAGAACCCACGTCCTCTAAAAAATCCCTCTTTGTCCTGACTTTCAGAGCCCATTCCAAAGGGGAGGAACATGGGTGGATTTGCCTGGACCAATCAGAGGCTGCCTGTGGCCTATTCCTCAGGCCTATGTAAGAAAGGAGGAAGAGGGAGCCAAGGGCTGACCATGGTCATGGTCAGGAGGAGGCTGGCTCATGGCTGGTTCACCCTGGGGTGCTGGACAGAAACACCTCTAGTCTTCCAAAGCAGTTGAGTTTCCGAATAGGTTGTCTTTACATTGGAATCTGGCCCAGAGGTGATACCATTGTTTTCGGTGATCTGTAATATGAGAGGGAACAAAGGCACAGAGTCAGTTTCTGGTGGTTGCAATGGTGCCCCAGTTGCTTATTCTAATGGTAGACAGCTCTTCTAGGGCCTTGGAGTGACATACAGGCAGCTCTCTTTTACAGAGGGCCACACATATTATGCACAATAATGGATGCTTTGCATACAGCATCCTATTTCATCCTCATGGCAATTTTGCAAGGATGGGAGGGGAATAGCACCTCCATTTTACATATGAGAAAACTAAAGTTCAGAAAGTATAAGAGACCCGCCCACAGTAGTTTTTAGGTGTATAGATTCAGGATTGTAGCCCAGTCCATGTCTTCCCATTATAGCACACCATTTATTCTGCTTAAAGGGCCCACGGGACCTGAAAGGTACAGAATGAACCATTCTCCCCCTCACGCAGAATCTACAGTGGCTCTCCTGTCACTCTCCATCCCACTATCTGGTCACCTAGTATCACCTGATATCTTATTTATTTATGGGTTTGCTTCTACCACCAGAGGGGAATCCAAAGGATAAGGGAACAGCATTGGTCTTGATTCCTACAGTAGCCCCAGTGTCTAAATCAAAAGGCCTGGCACATAATAAGTGTCAATAAATATTTGTTGAGTGGATAAAAGCTCATCTCTAACAGTTCCCCTTATTGGTACTTGAACTACATTATCTCTAACCCTCACATCAGGTGGGGATAATGAGCTCCATTTGGAAGTGGCAGAGCAAAACGAATGGACTTTGGAATCAAAGAGGTTTGAAACCTGGGTTTAACTCCAAGTATCCTAGGCAAGTCACCTCACCTACCTGACATTAGGTTTCCTTGGGTTGTGAAAGGGTGGGCCTAATTCAGAGCTACTGTTTTGAATTAGATGAGATTGTAGCTATATTCTTACAGAATAGGAACTGGAGGCTCAGAGTGGTTTACTGACTTACCCAAGGTGACACAGCTGGAAAGTACAGGAATAAAATAGTAAACAACACTAGCATTTTCAAGTATGAGTAGCCTCAGGACAGGGCTCTGGCTGGCTCCAGAATGTCTGAAATTGCCACCAGTAAGGTGCCATAAGCTGCAGACATGCTGAAACAGGAGAGAGCCTGAGGCTGGGTTGCTGGAGCTTATTTCAAGTCCATATCTAAGAGAAATCTCAAGAGTCCTCCCAGTCAAAGACATATCTACAAATAAAAAGAAAGACCTCCTACAGTGAGGGAGAGGAGACTTAAGGCAGAGTAGAGAGGACCAAGGACATTTTTGACTCCAACATTCTGTTTCTACCACCTTTAATTCATTTGGCTCTGTGAGTAATGCAGAACCAAATACCCAAGTCAAAGTTATCATTTCAGCAGACTTGCCTGCCTGAAACTCAGTTTTCTGATCTATAAAATGGAGATAATTTCTACCTCAGAAGGTCATGTTGTGGCACACTGTCCACACAACACAGTTCCTTTCTGAGAGGCGGGATGTAACTATGAGGGCCCTCCCTGGCCAAACCCTAGCCTCTTCATCTCACGTGGTGCTATAACCTCCCTGTCAGCATGATGCCCTGAAGGAGCATGCTGTAAGCCAGATAAGCCTTAGTTTGAATTATGGCTCTGCCTCATAGGTTCACTTTTTTTTTTTAATATAGTATTTTATTGATTTTTTACAGAGAGGAAGGGAGAGAGATAGAGAGCTAGAAATGTCGATGAGAGAGAAACATCGATCAATTGCCTCCTGCACACTCCCCACTGGGGATGTGCCCGCAACCAACGTACATGCCCCTGACCAGAATCGAACCTGGGACCTTTCAGTCCACAGACTGACGCTCTACCACTGAGCCAAACCAGTTTCGGCAGGTTCACTTTTTTAAAAAAAATTATATTTTTGTTGATTTTAGAGAGGAAGAGAGAAGAAGAGACAGAAATATCAATGATGAGAGAGAATCACCGATTGGCTGCCTCTTGCACATCCCACAATTGAGCCCACAATCCGGGCATGTGCCCTGACCAGGAATCAAACTTTGACCTCCTAGTTCAAAGGTTGACGCTCAACCACTGAGCCACATCAGCAAGGAAGAGGTTCATTTTTTTTTTAATATATTTTTTTATTGATTTTTGTACAGAGTGGAAGGGAGAGAGATAGAGGGTTAGAAACATCAATGAGAGAGAGTCATTGATCAGTTGCCTCTTGCACACCCCCCACTGGGGATATGCCCGCAACCAAGGTACATGCCCTTGACCGGAATCGAACCCGGGGCCCTTCAGTCCCCAAGCCGACGCTCCATCGAGCCAAACCAGTCCCGGCAAGAGGTTCACTTTTAATGGTGGTTGCCTATCTCTATAAAATCAGAATAATAATCCCTTCCTCTAAGGGTTGCTTAAGAATTACCTGAGAGAGAAACTGCTTGGCATATGGCCTATAATAGAACAGGTGCTCAAAGAATGTTAGTCATTTTCAAGATTACCATGAACAGCCAACTCTCTGTTCTTCTCTTCCCTCAAAGAACTTACCACAGGATGAGAAGAGATAAACCAAAGAACTAATATACTTATATGAATAGCTCATGGATACTGGTAATAGGGTAGTGAAGACGTGGGAGGCCAGGTAGAGGCTTGGAGGAGAATGGGGGGAAATGATAATATCTGTAATACTATCAACAATAAAATATAGACATATTTTAAAACAAACTTATAACAATTTTTAATTATTGGTTATTATGTTTTGTCTCCTATCAGAATGTAAGGTCTTGAGAGCAGGGGTTGGATCTGTTGGGTCTACCACTTAGGGTGTTCAATAAATCTTTGATTAATAAATGAAAGAACCTGGTAATACTTCATAATGACCTATAGAGGGAGCTCTTGCCATAGAATTGATGGTAGTGAAGCACAGGGTCTTCAGACCAGTGAAAAAAAGACTTCTCTAGTCAGATTGCTACAGGCCAGGAAGTCCAAGTACTCTTTTTCCCCTCAAGTACTCTGAGGAGACTATCAAGGAAACTGTCTATGCTTTTTTACCAAAAAGGGAGAAAGCTAGGGTGAGGCTGATGGGAAAAAACTTACAGAGGAGATATTTCTTTCCGTTAACTGACCTAATGACTGAGAAAAAGCTGTTAGGATTCCCTTTCAGCCAAGGAGTACCTGGCTTTGTTCTAATTCAGCAGCCCATAGGTCCTGCTGCAGACCTTGAACTTCAAAGAATGATTACTCACTGGTTCTTGTGTTTGAAGCCGCTGACATGAGCTTGGTACTGTTCTATGGAGTTCAGCACTATTTTACATGTCTTGCACGGATAGCCCTTCCCAGCTGAAACACACATAAAAGCCAAGATGCTTAGTTATCCAGTAAGAAGGGACCTGGGAACTGCTGCTTTTAACAGTGCATGCAAATGTACTAACTAGTTCTTCTGAGGACAGAGGGGTGGGATGAGGTCAGGTGATTGGCCATGATGAGAATCCCAAAGGCCTCAATGCTCAGGGGGCATATGATATGTGCCAAAGTTGCTGTCGTACAGGGTGTGGAATGCAAACACAAGTGTGCAGTAAACCAGATTTGGGGCCGACAGTGCTCTAGCAACAACATGGCTGAAGGTGGAATTGTGCGGCTCCACAAGGAATCAGGCTCCCTCCTCTCTGGTTTTGGGGTACATCACCTGAAAACTGCTGCTGCCATGTCACTGCAGCTCAGCAGCTCCTGCATTGAACATCTTTCCCCTGGTGGTCAGTGCATGCCATAGTGACTGGTCAGATGGTAGGAGGGACACTTATCATATTAGCCTTTTATATATATAGATTCATTCTTATGGGTTCCATGAATCCTGCTGGTAAAGAGGTGGCGAATATCTTTTAAGCAGCCTTTCATGGCAACTGTAGCTTCTGAGAATGCCAACAATCTCCTCTACTCAAATAAGGTAGCCAATGTTACAGCTCTGTTTGTTTCCCTTGTTTCTTCACTTAAGGATAAACTTCCTACAATCAGAATTCAGGTCCTTTTTAGATATTTAAGGCCAGAATTCATGTTTCAACACTAACATGGAAAAGATGCATAATGGACTAGTAGAGAACTACCTTGCCCCCAAGGCCAAGAATGGGACCTGGGATTGGTGTGGCTAAGAGTCACTGATACCCAGATTATAATAGCCTACTCTTATTATCTATTAAGTACTAGGCATCACACCAGAATTTTGGACATATGTCCTTAGATTCTTACAACAATAATGCAAGATAGGTGGTTATTTCCATTTTTCAAATCAGGAACCAAGCCCAGGAAAGTTAAGTCGTTCACCTGGGATTTTCCCTCTGGTCATGAAGCCCCCATTCTTCATATGTCTCTAAACTCTTCTATCTCCTTTGTGAGGGACAAGATCTCAACACACTATCTACTCATCCGTAAACTAGATTCAAAATGGTTATTTGAGCTTTGTCTGTGTGACTCATTTGCTTGAAGTGTATACCAAAAGGTTGTGGGTTCAATTCAAGGTCTGAATACATGCCTAGATTGCAGGTTCAGTCCCAAGTCAGGTTGTGTAAGGAAGGCAAGTGATCCAATGTTTCTTTCTCACATCGATGTTTCTCCCCCCCCCCCTCACCCTTCCCCATTCCCTTCTCTCTAAAATAAATAAATAAATAAATAAATAAATAAATAATCATGTCCTCAGGTGAGGATTAAAAAAATAAATAAGAGTTAAAATTGTCATTTGGGGAATTGCAGAATTCATCGATGCTCTAAAAAACAACAACAGTATTTGTCCAGTAATTATCATCTGTTTTTCATTTTACAAGTTTGATATTTTGGTTTACCCATGTAATCTCATAGAACATAAGTCACAAGAGTTGGTTTTTGAACATCTTATGTGGGAAAGCACCTATATCTCCATCTTTTTACTGCTAAGCCTTCTTCACGTGCGCATGCACACATGTGCATGTGCACATCCTTTCCAAGGCCAATGGTGGCTTCCTTATATCTAAATTTTATTTATTTATTTATTTATTTATTTATTTATTTATTTATTTTAAATATATATATTTTTTAATTGATTTTACACAGAGAGGAATTGAGAGGGACAGAGAGTTAGAGTTATTGATTTTACACAGAGAGGAATTGAGAGGGACAGAGAGAATCATCGATCAGTTGCCTCTTGCACACCCCGCACTGGGGATGTGCCCGCAACCAAGGTACATGCCCTTGACTGGAATCGAACCCGGGACCTTTCAGTCCGCTCTATCCACTGAGCCAAACCAGTCCCGGCTCTTATATCTAAATTTAATGGACAACATGGATGCTTAAGAGGACTCATCGTATTTGAGCTTTCAACAGCTCCTGAGAGAACTGGTGACTCCTCCTTTCTTCAACATCTCCTGCCCAGCCCATGGCTTTCAGCATGTACACTCTTGTTTTCTGTCCTCTGGTGGCTCCTTCTCTTGCTAACACCTGTTTGACTTCCATCATTAATAGTGGCATTCCAGAGGGTGCAACTTTTTCCTTCTTCTTATTTCCTTATTATTTTATTTTTTAAAAATATATTTTTTATTGATTTCAGAGAGGAAGGGAAAGGGAGAGATAGAAACAGTGATGAGAGAGAATCACTGATTGGCTGCCTCTTGCATGCTCCTACTAGAAGTTGAACCCGCAACCCAGCACATGCCCTTGACTGGAATTGAACTTGGGACCCTTCAGTCCACAGGCAGATGCTCTATCCATTGAGCCAAACCAGGTAGGGTTATTATTTTATTTTTAATTGTGGTTAAATACAATAGGAAATTTACCATCCAAACCACTTTAAGTGCACAATTCAGTAATATCAAAAGATAGGTCTGGCCGAAACCGGTTTGGCTTAATGGATAGAGCATCGGTCTACAGCCTGAAAGGTCCTGGGTTCAATGATTCCAGTCAAGGGCATGTACCTTGGTTTCGGGCACATCCCCAGTAGGGGGTGTGTAAGAGGCAGCTGATCGATGATTCTCTCTCATTGATGTTTCTAACTCTCTATCCCTCTCTCTTCCTCTTTGTAAAAAATCAATAAAATATATTTATTTATTTATTTAAAATATATTTTATTGATTTTCCACAGAGAGGAAGGGAGAGGGATAGAGAGCTAGAAACATCGATGAGAGAGAAACATCAACCTATTGGGGTTGTGCCGCAACCAATGTACATGCCCTTGACCGGAATCGAACCTGGGACCTTTTAGTCCGCAGACTGACGCTCTATTCAGTGAGCCAAATCGGTTTCGGCAATAAAATATATTTAAATGCTAGCTGGATGCTATATTCCTATCAATTACAGACCAAAATACTCAAATCTGGTTTGGTATGTCATGAAGTGGGGTTATAAGGAACTTGGACCTAAGGTTTCCAAATTCCTCAACATGATACTGATCCTATTAAAGGGGAAGGTACTGCCTGTATGTGGGAATGGTAAGTAAATATCAGCAATCCATTTCAAATTAAGTCTTTAAAATTTTTTTTAAATTGTTTTTTAGTGAGAGAGGAAGGGAGAAGGAAAAAGAAAAACATTAATGTGAGTGTGGAACATTGATTGGCTGCCTCCTATACACCACCCAGACATGAACCCTGACTGGGGAACCAAACCAGCAACCTTTTGGTGCATGGGCACAGTGCCCAACCAATTGACCCATATGGTCAAGGGCTCCAATTTAAAATATATATTTTATTGATTTTGTACAGAGAGGAAGGAAGAGAGATAGAGAGTCAGAAACGTTGATGAGAGAGTCATCGATCAGCTGCCTCTTGCACACCCCCCACTGGGGATATGCCCGCAACCAAGGTACATGCCCTTGACCGGAATCGAACCCGGGACCCCTCAGTCCCCAAGCCGACGCTCTATCCATTGAGCCAAACCGGTCCCGGCAAGGGCTCCAATTTAAAACAGGTTTATAAAGCAAGGTCCTTCAATGGCATTGGTGGAGCAATCTTTGGCACCCCGCTAAAGAGCTGCCCACTTTGCTTCATAGTCACTGCTTTGCACCCTTCTCATTTGTGTCAGTATTGCCCAAGGACAGCCTGTGCTGCATGATGCTTTCGGGTTTGGAAGTTTGTTAGAGAGCCAGGATCCCTCCCCTTGCCTATATGTGGTCTGGAACATCTAAGACAACTATATGTTCATTTCTTCAGCACTGTGGGAAGAGCCCAGATGGCTCTGAGAATCCGTTTTCCTGAGGCCAAGTTGTTGGTAGCTGGATGCCATGGGGCCTCAAGTGGAATGCAAACACAAGTATTGACTATCTGGTGCTGGATCTCCACAGCCTAGGGAAAAACCCTGGGGACCAACACAAAAGTTCACATCGGCTCCATGAGACAGAAATTGTGCCAGTGTTGGTCACTACTGTACCTCAATGAAGAAACACAGTGGGTGCTCAATAAATAATGACTGGCTGAGTGAAAAATTAATCTCTCTTCTCTTCCCCTCCCTTTCGATAGGCAGTGAGTAGTTACTGTGATGGGAAGGGCTTCTAACTTTTTGTGAATGCTCACTCCTGTGACGCTGATGAGTGAGCACCTTGAGGTCAGGGGAGCAGCTAATATTCTCAGTCAGAATGGTTTTCACCATGTTATCCTAGGAATACAGTTAGGCCTCAACTGCTGAGAAAGGAGGGGCCCTGAGGACACTCTAAAATCTGACAGAAACAGTTGAGACCTTCACACAAAACATGTGGATGACAAGGAGTTTAAATCAGAAGTTGCTCCTGGTGGCCCCTGGCCCAAATCTCACAGGACTTAACATTTTAAAAATTTAGTTGCACATTTAAAAATAAGAATTCTTATTCAAATCTGGCTTCTAGATTCTTGTGAAAAGCTGGTAATAATTGGCTAGAGCTGACTCAGCCAGGCATGCACTTTTTTAGCTGACCTATCACCTCCAGACTCTTTCCCTTATTTAAATTTCCTATCTGGCTTCTGCAGGCATTTCAGTTTGCCATGTCTGCCCTAAGAGACTTAAGGAGGAAAAGCATAGCCTTAGTGGTCCAGCTCTGATTCAACTATGGGTGTGAGCTATGTGTGAGCTGGGCTCCCTTACCTGAGTCGGTGACAGCAGGGTCTGCAAGCCGTCCATAGTGTGCCATGAGTTTGAGCTTGGTCTCCTGTTTCCTGTGTTTCTTGCCCTCATAATGTTGTTGAGCCATGGCAGGGTCGTTGAAAGTTGCGTGGCAGAGGCTGCAGAACTTGTCTGGGTCTATCACCTCTCTATTCTGGTGTAAGGCTAAGGTGGAGGCCACAAGGAAAGGGTTTGTAAGGCGTTTCGACAGAGCTGCAGTGAGAGAGTTCAAACAGAAACAATGAAAAAACCCAGAAGGTGCCAGGCTTTTGAGTATACTGAATGCAAATCAAGGCTGGTAACTAGTTAATCACGCTTGCACAGGGGGCCCTGCCAGGATGAATCACACAGTGAAAACCTTCTCTGATTAAGAAAACTGCAAAGATGTGGGGGAGCTACTCTGTTCAGTAGCTTTAACTACTTTAGGCACATGAAACCTGATTTTCTCACATTCTGAGGAGGTTCTGCACTTCTACTATCAAGTTGTAAATGACAACAGACTAGAGATGTACATGCTTGCAGCTTTTTATCCTTCAGAAATCCCCAGAACTTCACGGTAAGTGGGTTCCCATCCTCAGTACCCCAGTGACAGAGCTGGAGGCAATGTGCCAATGTAGAGACTGAGGGTCTAAGGGCTTGCAGGGTCATTTACAAAAGGCAACTATACTGGGAGGCTTTTTGCACACTTCTTTCTGGGTAAGGTGGGGAGAGACGAGGATGACATTGAAACTTACTAGTCATTATGTGCTTTGTACATGTATTTCCTCCCTTGGTCCTCAGAACTACTCCATGAGGTATATATCATTTTGCTGCACTACAGAGAAAAATTAGGGCTCACAGGGCAAATGACTTGTCCAAGACCACCCAGCTAGTGAGTGGAACCAAGGTCTGTGTGGTCCTAGACACCATGCCCTCTTTGCTCTGCCAGGCTGCCAGTGTGGCAAGGGGACCTGAAGGCTACAGTTCATGCTTTCACCTTCAGAAAAAATCCCTGGCGTTGGTTAGTGAATTCTGTTAATCAGAGCCTGGTATGGATATATGTGTAAGCCTCCTGTGAATCAAGAGATTTCCAAATGCTGACTGCAGGCCACGCAGCTGCCTTAATAAAGTGGATGCCATAACTCACTAATGAGTCCACGTGGCTGGAATGGTGTGGATCTAGTAACCACTGCTTTACAAATGTGGGCTAGAACCTCCACCGATGGTGGAGGGATGGGGCTCAGCAGTACTCACAGATGTCTGAGGGGCTCTTTCATCTTGGTACCACTTCAATGTGGGAAATTTTAAGGATTTTTAGCAAGCAGAAACTTACTGGCTTTTCCCACAGTTGCTTTCCAGGATAGGAAATCTCAATTTCTCTGGCCATTCATTTTTCCTGGTCATTGTTTCAGCAAGTTACTTGAAAAATAATATACATGTTGCAGAATATTTAATAGTATGAGAAAATATTCAGCATGTGGTACTGAATTAAAAAGAAAAGGTTATACAGAAATTTGTTTCTATGTCCTCAATTCTGTAAAGCAACAAAGCATTGGTGATATATGTTAAAAGACCAAAAGCATAAAGCAAAAGGGCTTTTCAGTATTTTCCAACTTTTCTACAATGAATGTAGATTTTTGACATCAGAAAAGAGATAATGGTTGTTATAAATGTCATTTTTTAAAATATACTGAAGAAAAGCATCAGAGGCAAATGCTTAAGTAAAGTTAAAGGAACTACTTAATGGACATCCAATAAAAATTAGACCTTTGGGAGTCTTCCCTCAAGAAACAGCTTGAAATATAGAAAGAGTATTCTATATGGATGTTTGTTATATAGAGTTATTTATAAATACCAAGAAGGGGAGAGGAAAAACATTAGAGAAATGGTTGAATGTGATATGATGAGATGCCTTCTAGTCATTAAAAATGTTTATAAAAATAGTTTTTAATAACATGAGGAAATTCAAATGTTAAATTTAAATGAAGAGTATAAAAGAAAACTGCACGCACAATATATAATTATATTATTGTGAAAAGACACATACACAGTTTATATGTGTAGTCTGGTATTCTGAAAGTCACATATTAACAGTGTTTTACTCTTGGTGGTAGGATTTGGTTGAAAGTTTACTTTTTTCTTTGTACCTTTTGCATCATTTGAACTAGATTTATTCATAATGAGTATGCATCATTTTCATAAAAACAAGATTATTTAGAGTATTGTATGTTTATATGTTCATATACATGGATTCAATTTAGATACACATAAAGCAGATACACACACACACACACACACAGCAAAAGATAACAGGAGAAACAATACTATAAAATGTTAACAATGGTTACCTTTGAATGGTAAAATTATGGGTACTTTTCCCCCCACTTATCTATATTTTCCATATTTTTTACAACGTGCTTATATTACTTTTAGAAATATATTAATAAACTTATATGATAACAGGAAAATGTGCTTAAACTAAAAGTAAAAGCAGGATACATGTATGACAATTACAACTATATAAAAAGACATATATGCATGTGGCAAAGGCCAAAAGTGGATATGGAAAATAACTTCCAGAATATGGAATCCTTGGTACTAGATATATTCCAGGGAATTTTCCTATTTATGGAGAGGTAAGTCCATTTAAGATAAGTGAGTGATCTTATAAAGTTCTGTTCCTAAGCTGGTTTTTCTTGGCCTAATGTTTAGTATTTTTTTGCTGCCATGAATGGTGCCAACACTGACTTTACCGAAAGCAATTATTAGTAGTAATAGGTTCCAGGTGGTATATGCCTGTTCAACTGCTGCATTTGTTGTGGGAAATGCCGCTCATTGGCTCTCTTAAAAATAGCAGCTGTCATTTACTGGGCATCGTTATGTCCTAGGTTCCATATATATTATTTCATCCTCACAACCTATGAAGGTGAGGAAACTCAGGCATGAAGAAGTCAAGTCATAAGGATGGTAAACAGCCCTAGGATTTAAACCTGGGCATCTGTGAGTTCAAAGTTATTTAGGTTTATAGCACAAATAACTAGATTTGGGTGTGAGAAGGTGTAATTATAAGTGAATTGTTTTTACTCTATCTTCAAGGCCTCCCAAAACATTGTTGTCTTGTTTTCATAATACAATAATATAAAAAAGGATAATAAGTATTATAGATATTATAATCTACTTCTTGATCCAAAATGAAGAGAGAAGCTAAAGTTACCAAGAAAAAATAAAGATCAAAGAATTTTTATTCTTGAGTAACTAGTTAACAGAAGTTAAAAAATCCCAGAAAGTCAGGAGTTATTGAGATGAAATCAAGGGTCCCAGTGTGACAAGATAAAGGGGGTTACTTTAGAAGTCACTATACTGGGAATGAATTCATAGCCACTGCAAACACAGCTTATGGGACAATAGTGACAGTACTGAAATATTCAGCTTTGAAAGGCAAGTCCCTGTCTTGAGAAAAGGCACCTTTGAAGATTAAAGTGAGTAGGGCATAACCTGAGCACACAAAAAAGACTAGGTTTTAGCTTTCAACCTGGAACATATGATAATAGGGCAGATGGATGCTGGGAGGAAAAAAATCTAAGTGGGAGAGGTAGGAAGTAGAATGCTCTCATGGTGTACAAGGCCTGAAGGACTTTGACACTCCTGAATTATTATCAGAACAAAAGCTCAGGCCTAAGACACTTCTACAGAGAAAAACTGATGCAACCAAATAGAGGTTAGGTGGGTACAACTCTGAGGCTGCATTTCAATGAAGCTGAGTCTACTTTAATATTTTTAAGGGCTCCCAAAAGCAGATCAACCTCTTCAAATCTGTGGCCCCAGTGAGAGTTTCTGGGAGCACTTGGCATTAGTGCCCTAAGGATGGGGGTGGGGATGGGGGTCCCGATATAGCACTACTCAGGAAAACCAGTACCTTCCACCTTAGTGGATTGCTGCTTCAGCTTTAAGTTCTTTGCGTGGGTCTTCCCCAGGTAGTGCGACTGGGCCACGACAGGGGAGAAAAAGGTCATGTTACAGATGGGGCAGCACTGGTTCTTGTCTTTGCTTCTGCTGCTCTTCTGGTTGGGAGAAAGAACACAGGTCTGAACATGTCACTGCCCGGCCAGAATATCTAAAATGGTTCCCCACTGCCCACAGCAGAATGGGTATTCAAGGCCCCGTTCGCACACTACCCCAACCTACCTTTCTGGATTCTTCTTCAGCTAACTCATGCAAGGCTCTACTCACCATTCCCCGCTTTATGCTCTGATACTTTCTTACTTTTTGTGTGGATCATTCTTGCTACATAGAATGATCTTTCCTTCTTTTCTGTCTGGCATATGTCCACTTAGCCTTCAAGGCCCAGATTAAATATCACATCTTCTGGGAGACTTTTACTCAAGAAAATTATTCAATAAACAATAATCAAGGCACTTTGTGTGACTATTCCAGGAAAAATTAATTCTGTTCCTCCTCCATACTCCCAGTGTGCATGAAACAGACCTCTTTAGCTTGTAACCCTAAGCTGACAACATAATAGCGTGGGAGACTTTTCTGTGAACTAAACTTCAACATGGACGGCATAGTCTGTTTGATTTTGTCTCCTATCCTTAGCAGTCTGTTGGGGTCTGGCACACAGCAGAGGCTCAGAATTTATTGAACAAGTACTAGCAGATCATTGTATTTTTTAAAATTTTTAGTTATTGATTTTAGAGAGGAAGAGGGAGAGGAAGGAAGAAAGGGGGAGAGAGAGAGAATCATTTGCTATTCCACCTATTTATGCATTCATTGGTTGATTCTTGTATGTGCCTTGATTGGAGATCAAACCCACAACCTTGGCGTATCGGGACTACACTCTAACCAACTGAACTACCAGGCGATACAGCATTTTATTATTTATTTATTTATTTATTTATTTATTTATTTATTTATTGTTAATCCTCACCTGAGGATATTTTCCCATTGCTTTTTAGAGAAAGTGGAAGGGAGGAGGAGAGAGAGGAGAAACACTGATGTGAAAGAGACATATTAATTGGTTGCCTCTCAAATGTTGGGGTCAGGGACTCAACCTGCAACCCAGGTACCTGCCCTTGACTGGGAATCAAACCTGTGACCCTTTGGTGTTTGGGTCGACACTCTAACTACCAAGCCACACTGGTCAGGGCAAGACAGTATTTTATTTTTATTACTAGAGGCCCAGTGCACAGAATTTGTGCACTCGATTGGGGTCCCTCAGCCCAGCCTGCACCCTCTTACATTCTGGGAGCCCTCAGGAGATGTCCAATTGCAGGCTTAGGCCTGCTCCCCTAAGTCAGCAGTCCGACATCTTTAGCGCTGCCACGAAGACAACAGAGGCTCCCGCCACCACTGCTATGCTCGCCAGTCTTGAGCCTGGCTCAGGGCTTCTGGCTGAGCAGTGCTCTCCTCATGGAAGCACACTGACCACTAAGGGGAGCTCCTGCATTAAATGTCTGCCCCCGATGGTCAGTGTGGGTCATAGTGACCCAATATTCTGCTATTTGGTCGATTTGCATATTAGCCTTTTATTACACAGGATTATTATTATTTGTTTAATCCTTATCCAAGGATATTTTCCATTACTTTTTAGGGAGAGTAAGAGAGAGAGAAACATTGATGTGAGAGAAACACATAGAATATTTGCCTCCTGCATAAGCCCAACTAGGGCTGGGGCTGGGGAAGAGCCTGCAACCAATGTACATATCCTTGACCAGAATTGAACCTAGGACACTCTATCCACTGAGCAAAATTAGCTAGGGCAAGACAACATTTTAAACCTTGGCACTATTAATATTTTGGGCTGAATAATTCTTTAATTGGGATAGGGGTAGGAGCCTGTGACCTTGTTTGAAACTACTGGACCACCCTGAGTTGAAGGCACTGAAATACAAAGAGGTGAAGTGATTTGCTCAAAGTCACAGAGTTGAGCTTGATTTTTTCTTTCTTTTTTTTTTTTTTAAAGTCTTATTCATTTCAGAGAGAAGAAGTGAGAGGGAGGGAGAGAGAGATATGATGAGAACCACCGATCAGCTGTTTCCTACATGCCCCTTACTGGGGATCAAACATGTAATCCAAGCATGTTCCCTGACCAGGATTCGAACGATAACCTACAGGTTCATTGATACACGCTTACTAAGCCACACTGGTCGGGCTCTTTTTTTTTTTTTTTTAAGAAAAAATGTGTATTGATTTTTAAGAGAGAGAGGAAAGGAGAGAGAGAGAGAAATATCAATGTGAGAGAGAACATCTTTCGGGTATCTCCTGTATGCTCCCTACTGGGGATGGAGCATGCAACTCCGACTGAGAATTGAACCAGAAACCCTTCAGGGCATGAGATGACACCCAACCAACTAAGCCACATCGGCCAGGGCTATTTATTATTATTATTTTAAAAAGTGTTATTTTTATTAATTTTAGAGAGGGAGAATGAGAGTTAGAAACATCAATGATGAGAGGGGATCATTGATTGGCTGCCTCCTGCATGTCCCACACTGGAGTTCCAACCTGCAATCCAGGCATATGCCCTGACCAGGAATTGAAGCTTGACTTTCTGGTTCATAAGTGGATGCACAACCACTGAGATGCCGGCTGAGCTACTTTTAATTTTTATTGAACTCTTTGGGGTAGCATTGGTTAGATCCTGACTTTCAGAATTCTAAATTATAAGAAGGGCAAGTAGGGGATCAGTCTAGTGTAGTGATCGGCAAACTCATTAGTCAACAGAGCAGCAAACTGCAGCTCTAGAGCACATGTTTGCTGACCACTGGTCTAGTAAATTGGAGAAGGGATGAGCATGGCACTTCCAAATCTATGATATAATAGGAGGAATAGTTTTTATATTCACTGGGTATAAACTAGAAATTGAAATTTTACCTTATGGTACCCTTAAGAGATAGAAATTACTATCTCCATTTTATGAATAAAGTACACAGAGGTTAAATGATTTACCTAAAGTCACCTAACTAGTAAGTTGTAGAGTTAGTACTAGTTTCTTATCCCATGACATTTGCACAGCCTCCTATGGAACAAAAATTATAATACCCCTGAGGACTTTGGGTTGTTTCAGCATAATTCCCACATTATTTCTAAGCCAAAAAGCAAATGTGTTTATATCTCTATCAGAGCAGGCATCTGATAAGGTGTTCCTACCACTTATTGACTCAAAACATTCAAGTGCTGAGCTCAGCTCTTTTTCCTGATCTCAAGAAAGCAGCTTGGCCTCCTTCCACTTTGTTTCCTTAAGTAGTGAATGGGCAGCTTCTTGTTCTACTCCCTCAAACCACTGGGTGGTAAAACACAGCAACGGCTCCATTTACTAAGCTCCTGCTATGTGCCAGGCTCTGTGTGAGATCTTTTTCTTTCCCTCATTTTAGTTTGGAAAATCCTAAAACATAATTGATATTAGCATTCTCTTTTTGATAAAGGAAGAAATCAAGGCTCAGAGAAATGACAGGGCTGGAATTTAAAGTCAAGTCAGACTCAAAGCCCATGCTCTTTTTACCACACCAACCTGTCTGCAGGCTTCATCAGGAAGCAAGCAGTATCAACATGGCAGCTGGATTACCTGATCTGAGTCTAGCTTCTTCATTTCCCCCTTTAATGTCTCCATTCCATGGATTGCTAGGTATCTCTTCACTTTGTTGGCATGTTTTTTGCTCTGTAAGAACCCAGGAAAAAGATCAAAGATAGCCAAATACCGATTCATATCTAAGGAACTCAAAACACTTACTAGATTTTCACCTGATTCATCCTCATAAAACATTTAAGCAGGAGAGGGTGTGGGAAGAAACCTAGTCTTTTGAGTTCCCACTCTGCTCAAGGCACTTTACATGCAGTCAAATCTAATCTTCAGAACAACCTTTGAGAAAATTATCATCATCTCCATCTTGTTTTTGTTTTGTTTATTGTTTTTTAGACAGAGTGGAAAGGGGCGGGGAGAGACAAAGAGACAAAAACATTGATGTGAGAGTGACACATCGATTGGTTGCCTTCCCCACGGGGACTGAGCCTACAACCTACCCTGTTTCCCTGAAAATAAGACAGTGTTTTATATTAATTTTTTCTCCCAAAGTTGCACTAGGTCTTATTTTCAGGGGATGTCTTTTTTTTTTTTTTTTTTAAATATATATTTTATTGATTTTTTACAGAGAGGAAGGGAAAGAGATAGAGAGCCAGAAACATTGATGAGAGAGAAACATCGACCAGCCGCCTCCTGCACACCCCCCACCGGGGATGCGCCTGCAACCAAAGTACATGCCCCTGACCGGAATCGAACCCGGGACCCCTCAGTCCGCAGACTGACGCTCCACCACTGAGCCAAACCGGTTTCGGCTCAGGGGATGTCTTATCTTTCCATGCGCTAGGTCTTATTTTCGGAGGATGTCTTATTTTGGGGGAAACACGGTAGGTACATGCCCTTGACCGGAATCAAACCTGAGACCCTTTGGTCTGTGGGCCGACGCTCTATCCATTGAGCCAAACCAGCTAGGGCATCATCTCTATCTTATAAATGAGGAAACAGAGTCTGAAGATACTGAGGATTCTTGCCCAAGATGAGTAGCAGAGCTGTGATTCAAACTCTGGTCTATTTAAAGCCAGTTCTTAATTTCTACTGTACAAGCTACAATGGAAGATATAAGTACAGGCAGCCCTTGGGTTATGTCAGATTCAACATACATCATTTTGTGGTTATGTTGCCATATCTCATTAATTTATTAAAAAAAAATTTCTGTCATTTTGACATATGTACATATATGCTTTATGTTTTTTATTATTTATTTACCACAAGTTAAGGTCAGGAATCATTGTTCTTTTAATTTTTTTTTTTTTACTGTTTCACTTCATTACTGCTGTGTATCTGCTCCACGTGAGTGACATAGGTGCTTACGTAGGTGGGCTCCCACTAAAATCACGTTTCGTCGCACCGTAGGAACAGATCTCCAACGTAACCCAAGGTCCTACTGTATAATGATTCTGATTTAGATGAGAGAAATGGGACTTAGGAAAATTAAATCAGTCTTCAAGCTACAGTCAACATGCATGGAGGCAACATCTGGGTAGCTAAAAAGGAATTACCTTTCACAGTGCAAGTCGGGAGAAGTGGGGGCTTGGAATTAGGTCTGGAAAGTAGAGCAGTTCTAAAGGTACTATGGCATACCTGGTAGTGTGCCAGCTTCTGAGAGTCTGAAATGAGCAAGGCGCAGCAAACCTTACACTGGGTGTTGGTGAAGAGACACTGGTTCTTCTGGATCATATGCTCCACTATAGAGAGGAAAATAAAATCTGTGAGTTAAAAATCTGCTTCAATAGCATTGTCTTTGAACCCTGCCTCAAATGCAGGCACTGAGTAATGGAATGCCATACTATTATATCTTGACAAACCTCAGTCACTCTTTCCCTACTGCTTTCATAACTCGTGCTATGTTCTCGTACCATGTATACTATTACTGGGGATTGAGCCTGCAACCCAGTCATATGACTAACTGAAATTAAAATGTGACCTCCTGGTCCACAGGTCAATGCTCAACCACTGAGACACCCCGCCAAGCTAGAACATTCTTTTTGAAATATTCCCTCACACTTGTCAGAATGGCTATCATTAGTAAATCAACAAACAAGTGTTGGTGAAGATGTTGAGAAAAGGGTACCCTTGTGTACTGTTGGTAGGAATGCAGATTGGTGCCACCACCATGAAAAACAATATGGAGGGTCCTCAAAAAAATTAAAAATGACCCAACTGGCGTGGCTTTGTGATTGAGCATCAACCTACAAACCAGGTGGTCACAGTCCAATTCCCAGCATAATTACAATGGATGAATTTTATGATATATATAAATTATAACTCAATGAAAGTGCAAAGAGAAAAAACAATGTGAGTAGAAACTGGTTTTATAGTTATCTACCTAGATCTGATATAAATATTGTAGGGGTGTGGAGACTAGGGAAATGAACTGGTGTGACACTGTACATTCATACACACATAGAGACAGTTCACTTTTCAACACACAGTCGCTGTGTCCTATGTCCTCTGAGGACAAAGATCACTTCCTCTTCTTGTGTGCACCCAACTCTTAGGCATTCCTCTTCACTATATTATAATAAAACTGCTGTGGTGTCTGCTTCCTGGACCAGACTATAAGCCACTTCAGAGCAAGAACAGTTTTTCCTCACCTCTGACACCCAAACAGTCTTGAAATAGAGCAGGCATCAGTGAATAGAGCAGGCATTTGTGAAATTAATGAAATAAAAATTGTGGGGGAGGAAGGGCACAAATTTGTACATAATAACTTAGGAATCAGACTAGACTAGTTTTTAAACTGGAGAAACACACACACACACACACACACACACACACACACACACACACAAGGGTATAGGACTGTGTACCACCCCAAACTGAAACATACAGTCTTGACTGTGATAAAAGGTCCCGAGTTCGATTCCAGTCAAGGGCACATGCCAGGGTTGCAGGCTTGATCCTCAGTAGGGAGCATGGGGGAGGGGGAGAAAGGCAGCTAATCAATGATTCTCTCATCATTGATGTTTCCCTCTCTCTCTCCCTTCCTCTCTGAAATCAATAAAAATATATTTTAAAAAAAATTCCATTTTATTCCAGGGGGCATCAATTCACAGGTAAACATACTGAACTTTTCAAGATTTGTCTATTCAGCAAGCACAAACCATTAGAGCAATCTGATTGTCCTGCAGATTACTTGACAGGATTTAGCACAGAAGCCCTGACAGCTTGTGTTCTTTTGGGTAGTTAAGCAGCTAGCTTTTCTAAGGACTGTTAAGTGGGTCACACAACCAGGTCAGGCCAGCTTTTTCCATCTCCTCGATGTCCATCTTACCCACTGCTAAGTAAAATGCAGAGCAAGCCGGAAAGCTTCTTTTTCAGATTCCTGGCCCCCATCTCAGAAGAGACCAGGCAACTACAAATGGGGGTGAGCCAGGGCTCCATCACCACCAGCAGGAACATGGGGGTATGAAGAAGGCCTTCTAGAGCCCCTGGAAATTGGGGCATGAGAGAAAGGAGGCTAGAGACATGACGGGTGGGGGAGCCTGGAGACTGGGGCGATTGAGAATCGGGGAGAAATGGTGAGTTAGCTAAGAGTCTGGCGGGATTGTTCTGTAGGTCTCACAGAAGGTGTGGACAGGGACTACAGTCCGCGAGCCAGGGAAGAGCTGCACTCTGGTGGGTGAGGAAGGCCGGGCAGCAACACCCGCGGCCTGAGCGTGAGATGGCCCTTGACCATATGCACGCGGGAGCCTTGATTTTCAGGAGCGGGCCTGCGATGCCCGGGGCCTGGGCCTGGGCCCCTGGTCTGCATGAGTTGGGGAGTCCCGGGCTGCGTCACACAAGGGGTGGGACCATACAGACGGGGGCTGGCCCGCATTCCAGCCTCGCGCTTCCGCCACTCTCGCTCCGGGGGCAGGCGGGCAAGGGGACTCCTTCCTCTGAGACCCCCGCCTCCCTCTCTCACTCACCTTCCTCCCTCCCCAGGGGCTGGGCCCCGGACACCGCTTCCCACAGGCGGCACGCCCTCTCGCGGTCGAAGCGCAGCCCGTCCGGCTCCCGACCCTCCGGCTCCCCCGAGCTGTGGTACGGCTGGACCCCTCCGCTGTCCGTGGCCTGCACGGTGCCCAACGCGGGGTACTCCATCTTCGCTGTAAGCCCAGATCCGCCGCCAGAGCCGGGGCCTCGCGAGATGAGGCTGGACGGGTGACTTGGCCCGGCTAACAAATCTCGCGAGGTTGGGAGCCGCAAACCGCGTTGCGGTTCCGCCCTGACGGTCCTTTCGCCGGGTGACTGCTGGGGATCTCGGATCCTCTGCTACCGACTCGGAAGTCGGTCCACAATTCAGCGGCGCCTTCCTTGCTGGACGGCTGGTGCGGTCCTTGGCTCGGGGGTCTCACTTTGCACACGGTCAGCCTTTGACACTTATTTCGTTCTCGTGAAGGCCCTGTGATGTGGGAGTATTGTCCCCATTTCGCTGGTAGGGAAACTGAGGCTCAGAACCTAGAAGTGGTTTACTTGAGTTCACTACTAGTAAGTTAGCGATAGAGGAAACTCCATCTCCGCGATTAAATACCTTTTGAGTTCCAACTGTTAACCCCCAACAAGACCTCTCCTTAAACTCCTTTCCTGACAAACTTGTAATTCTGTTGGAACCACAATCTCTTGCCAAGGTTATTGCTGTGAAGTGCTCTGGTCCCTTCCTTTACTCTTCAGGTATTCTAAGCACAGCAGCCCCAGTGATCCTCTTGAAACAAGCCCTATCATGACACCCAGGTGCTCCAATTCTCCAACACTTTTTTTTTTAATCCTCACCCAAGCATATTTTTCCATTGATTTTTAGGGAGAGGGAAAGACAGAGAGAAATATTGATGTGAGAGAAACACATCAATCGGTTGCTTCCTGCATGAGCCCCAACCAGGGCCCGAGCTGGGAAGGAGCCTGCAACTAAGGTACTTGCCCTTGACTGGAATCGAACCTAAGATCCTTTGGTCCAGAGGCCAATGCTCTATCCACTGAGCCAAACCTTCTAGGGCTCTCCAACACCTTTTTATCCCTTCAAAAAGCTAAAATCACCCAGCTGGCTTTAGTGATTCACTTCCAGGAAGCCTCTCAGTAAGTTACAGTTTCTAGGTCTTTTATTTTTTACTGGAGGCCTGGTGCATGAATTCGTGCAAGGGGGGGAGGGGGTGTCCCTCACCCCAGCCTGCACCCTCTCCAATCTGGGACCCCTTGAGGGATGTCTAACTGGCAGTCGGACATCCCTCTCACAATCCAGGACTGCTGGCTCCCAACTGCTCACCTGCCTGCCTTCCTGATTGCCCCTAACTGCTTCTGCCTGCCAACCTGATCACCCCCTAACAACTCCCATGCCAGCCCGATTGATGTCTAACTGCTCCCCTGCCAGCCTGTTTGCCCCAATTTCCCTCCTCTGCCAGCCTGGTAACTCCTAACTGTCCTCCCCTGCAGGCTTGATCGCCCCCAACTGCCCTCCCTTGCAGGCCTGGTCCCTCTAAACTGCCCTCCTCTGCAGGCCATCTTGTGCTGGTCATCTTGTGTCCACATGGGGGAGGGTCTTTGACCACATGGGGGCAGCCATCTTGTATGTTGGAGTGATAGTCAATCTGCATATTACTCTTTTATTAGATAGGATAGAGGCCTGGTGCATGGGTGGGTGTCAGCTGGTTTTCCCTGAAGAGTGTCCTGGATCAGGATGGGGGGTCCCTTAGTGTGGGGTGGCCTGAGTGAGGGGCCTGTGGTGGTTTGCAGGCTGGCCATGCCCCCTGGCGACCCAAGGAGAGGCCCTGGTATCTGAAATTTATTTATCTTCTATAATTGAAACTTTGTAGCCTTAAGTGGAGGCCTGTGCTGGCCAGGGTGTGTGGGAACCTTGGCTTCCTCTATCGCCTGGGAAACCCAAGTCTCTCTCCTGCTTTCTTGGTGGCCGCAGCCATCTTGGCTGGATTAATTTGCATACTTGCTGTGATTTGGCTGGTGGGTGTGGCTTGTGGGTGTAGTGGAGTGGTGGTCAATTTGCATATTACTCTTTTATTATATAGGACTAGAGGCCTGGTGCACAAAATTCATGCACTTGGTGGCGGGGGATCCCCCTGTCCGGTCTGCACTCTCTTGCAGTCCAGGAGCTCTTGGGGAATGCCTGACTGATGGCATAGGCCCACTCCCTGGCCTTAGCCCCCACTGCACTCACCACTTATGAGCCTAGCTTCTGGCTGAGCAGTGCTCACCCTGTGGAAGAGCACTGATCACTAGGGGGCAGCTCCTGTGTTGAGCATCTTCCCCCTGGTGATTAGTGCGTATCTTAGCGACTGGTTGTTCCACTGTTCAGTTGATGTGTTTATTAGTCTTTTATGCCTGCAGGATTGGGCCAAAACTGTGACTCCAACATCCCCTGGGGGTCCCAGATTGCAAGAGGGTGCAGGACAGGCTAAGGGACCCCACTGGTACATGATCGTGGCTAGGGAGGGATGCAAGAGGTTGGCTAGCTGGGGAGGGACAGTGGGAGGGTTCTGGGGTGTGTCTGGCCCGCCTCACTCAGTCCCAATTGGCCAGACCCCAGCAGCAAGCTAATTTACTGGTCGGAGCATCTGCCCTCTGGTGGTCAGTGCACATCACAGTAAGTGGTTGAGTGGCTTTAGCATATTGTTAACATATTATGCTTTGATTGGTTGAATGGACAACAGGACGACCAAACACTTTGCATATTAGGCTTTTATTATATAGAATTTTTCATTGATTTTAGAGAGAAAGGGTGAGGGAGAGAGAGATAAAAACATAAGTGATGAGAGAGAATCATTGATTGGCTGCCTCCCACATGCCCCACATTAAAAATCAAGCCACAGCGTAGGCATGTTTCCTGACTGGGAATTGCACTTGAACTCTTATTATTCCAAAAAGTCAAGCCTCCAGCAAAATTCCTGTAATGGTTAGCATATCTATGGCAGGAGCTATTTGCCTGAAAGCCCTGGGAAAAATGCAAGCTAGAATTAAGAGTCAGAGACTGAGCATTTCACTCCATTACAATTGGAGGTCATCTTAGAGGTTGCCTACCATTGGCTGGCTCTCCTTAGGGTTACAAGATGGCTGCTAACAACTGCATCACCAATCTTCTTTGAGGTAGGATGCCCCAAAAGGATAGGATGTCAAGTGGAATGGGGAATCTGAGACAGCTGAACAAACTTGCTGAGCAATTTACCCCCAGCTACAGGTCACCTCCCTAGAGATAACATCTAGGACTAAGCTGTATTTCAGCATCAGGCCCAGAAAAGCAGCAAAACCAGGTGGACATCGCCAAAATCAGCTGCATTGACTAATGACCTCCTGCCCTTGTGCCAACCAGTCAGGGAGACCATGAGCCTGAAAGGGTACACCTAGAAAAGCTGACGACTATTCTGTTGAGATCCTTAAGACTGCTTCTAAACTCCCAGCCTTTAAAAAAAACCTCAAAATGAATGAGTTCCCCCTCCCTGGAACATGCCCCTGTATTTCCCTACCCCTTCCTCTTCCCCCACAAACGTTCATTTCCTAAACGCCAGGGGTCCCCGTGAGACTTGCAGCAACCAAGGGAGCAACGGGCAGCAGCAGCTTGTCCCAGGCTAAACCCCTGAACCTGTCTCCCAGGCCCCTTTTCTCTGACTTCTCAGAGAGCTAAAGCAGCTCCACCTAGGCTCTTTTCTTTCTTATATTTTCAGAGAGCCAAAACAGCTCACCTATACTCTCCTGTTGTTTTTTCTGTCATAAACCCTTGTTTCACCATCCTCAGCTTTAATAAAAATACTCTCAAAAGCAATGTTGATTACTCTCAAAATTAATGTTGTGATTTTTTTTTTTTTTTTTTTTTTTTTTACATGGAGTCAAGGACCAACACATTATGGACCAGCCTGAGGCAGAACCACTTAGGGCCAGGTCCCCTTTCCAGTAACATCATGACAGATCTGAAGTCCAGTTTATCCCCTCTCCCCAGCCATCCTGGCTTCCACCCCTCCTGCCTCCTGCCCTCATAACATGATCACATTGTGTATTCATCTATCCATGCAGGTCATTTTCTATATGCACGTTTTCCATAATCAGGATATACTGTTATTCTATGTACTTTTAAGTATACTTTTTGTCATTTTACAGTGTATGTAATTTGTTGGCATGTCACCATTTCAGTAACACATGCTATGAGCTATCAAATGTTGCTACTTATTTTATCGTAATCTTTTATCTTGGGAACATATCTCATCATCCATGTCGTATTGGACATTTCTGTTATTTTTTTTTTGAAGGGAGCAGGCTTGAATATAAACATGTCCTTTTGTGTACACCTGTAGCAGTTTCTCTATTTTTTTTTAAAAAATATATATTTTATTGATTTTTTACAGAGAGGAGGAGAGAGGGATAGAGGTAGAAACGTCGATGAGAAGAAACGTCGATGAGAAACATCGACCAGCTGCCTCTTGCACCCCCCCCCACTGGGGATGTGCCCGCAACCAAGGTACATGCCCTTGACCGGAATCGAACCGGGACCCTTCAGTCCGCAGGTCCACGCTCTATCCACCGAGCCAAACCGGTCCCGGCGGGTCATGCACATTTTAAATTCCCCTCACACCCCCCCCCCCAAAAAAAAAAAAAAAAAAAAAAAGTAAACCTACCTAAAGATTATCATAAAAAAATTTCCACCAAAGTGGCTGTTCTGATGTTACACTTCACCCGACATCCCCAAATGTTTCCCAGAATTCCCCCTCCCCTGAAATGATGAGACTGTAACGTTTACCCGGAGAGTTTTCACGCGGTCACGTGAACAGATAATGCCGGTATAACTGGATACAAGCAAAAGGGCCAGAAGAGGTTCGATGCGCCCGAGAAAACCTTGAAGGGTTAACTAGAGTGTTTTGCGGGCTCTGTGCCACTCCGGTTCCCTTCGCAGTGCTAGGATAACACCCGGAACGACACACCGCGGGAGCAGGCAGGGCCCGCCTGCGGGACGCACCCCGGTGGCGCCCCCCCCCCAGTAGCAGTTGGTACGTTCTGGCGGCGGCTTCCCCGCGCGGGGCTCGTTGGTTTCGTCCCCGGACGCCCGCGTCTCCTCCGGGCAGAGCCCGACTTCGCGCGCGCCTCCGCCCGCCCGCCCCCCGCTCCTGACG